AAATTGGAACGATACAGAGAAGATTAGCATGGCCCCTGCGCAAGGATGACACGCAAAATCGTGAAGCGTTCCACATTTAAAAAAAAAAAAATTGACTAAATTACTTATTATCAAATCAAATTGATCAAATTGATTATTTAAAAAAGCTAAAAAAGTAGTAGCTTTTGCCACTTACTAAGGCTTTTCTTTCGAAAAAATTTATGTTTAGTAATAAGACGGTCGTTCATGAAAGCGAACATTTTAAATAAAAAGTTGGAACAGAAAAAAGTTGCAGATAGTATATTGATATTTATTTATAATTATTATAATTGAGAATTTATGTCTGGAAAAAGTTTAATTCCTGCTACGGTGAATCCCGATTTACAAAAGGAACGTAATGCAGCCAGTTTCAAAGTTGAAGATTTCGCAAGTTGGTGGCATGGTGGAGCTGAAAAATTAAAATTCAAGAGAGACGTAGGTAAGTACTTCACAATAAAAAACTCAACTTTTTATTCCTTTTGATTTGATGATGAAATTATAATAAATATAATAATCTATGTAATCTATGTAATAATTTATGTAATTAATTGAAAAATAGTTTACTGTTTTAGAAAATCTTAAAAGCTTTTAAATAATAATATAATAAATTATATAATAAAATTAATTATCTAAAGAATTTAGTTAATTATTATAACTACTAACACCTATGGTGGGTAAGTGATTTAGTAAAAAGTTTAAACGAAGTCACTGGTATGCAGATTGAGATAATAAACATTATTTCAAATTTCACAAAGATAAGATCTGTTGATTACCAAAAAATTGAAAAATTTGTATGTCGATTATTGAACATGTAGAACTAAACATTTTTCTTTATTAATATTATTACAGATTAATTTTGTAATTATATAATAAATCGTTTTTAATCACTCTGATGAAAATATTGCTTGTGTTAAATTTTTATTCAAAGGCTACACTGCACTAAAATAAAAACAAAGACAGAAAAATCAATTAATTTCTTTGAGTTGATCAAGAAAATAGATATTTCATAGGTTCTTAATTGATTGGGTTACTGTTTTACAAACGTGTTAAACTTAATATACTACTTTCACACTATAAATAAGAAGTAGATTAGGATAGGTTAGCAATTTAATACAAGATGGGATATACTGATATGCTGGCATCTGTATGCAAGTTGGCTATGCTCTCTAAGAGAAATTCTAGGGCTGTTTATTTGAGATGTTTATTTGTGATAGATTTATTACGGGTCACAAGATTGATTAGGGAATGATGCTAGAAGATTGAAACTTCTGTTTAATTACATGTGTTAATTACATGCCTTACATGTGCTTTGTTATTTTCCAGCGGATTTTTTAAGAACTTTGGCTAGCTGCAGGACTTTCAATTAAATAAAATTTAAGGTTTTGTCAAAGGTTCAAGATGTTTTAGATCTCTGAGTTCTTATACAAAAACATAATGAGCAAATATGTCTAAGTTTCATTATTGCTTTTATTATTAAGATTGTATATAAATTCGATATGAATTTTTTTGCTTTAAGTTAACTTTTACATTATTAAAAATAAAAAATGAATTGATTAGATTAAAATAAATACCAATTTCTGTCAAGTACTTGCTTGAGTTTGCTTAAATATTTCTTATCTTGCGCATATGATTAATCAAGCATAAATCTTTTAATCTTAGAAAACTACATGTTACAGGATTTAAAAGAAGATAGCCACTTGTTTTACTATAAATCACATAAAGATATTTACGAACAATCTATAATGGAGTCAATCGAAGCCGCTAAGAAGTTGAGAAAACTTCAAGAGGAAAGAAATCCAGGAGGAGATGATATTTGGCCGTAAATATTTAGCATTTTTTAAAGTTTTGTTTATTTTAATACTAATTATTGCTCATTTAGAAACCTTTACATGTCAGAGTACTTTTGGGGTGCAATGCCGACAGGCAATCCGTTCGGTGTACAATTTGTAATGGTTGTGAAAGCTTTAAAGCAACAATCCACAGATGAGCAATATGAAGAGTTTGGAAAGCGGGTAGCAAATTTTGAAATTTCAGCCACTTATGCACAGACCGAACTCGGTCATGGTACATTTTTGCGAGGTTTAGAAACCAGAGCAGATTATGATCGTAAAACTGATGAGTTTATTTTGAATACTCCAACCATATCAGCATATAAATGGTGGCCTGGTGGATGTAAGTATCATCAACCACCTCAAAATAAAATAAAAAAATAAATCCACTGGTTTCTTGATTATAGTGGGCCATTCTTCGAATTACTGCATTGTGGTGGCACAGCTTTATATAGACAATGATCCGAAAGGTGTACAAATGTTTTTTGTGCAAGTAAGAGATGAAGAAACACACATGCCATTACCGGGTATTGACATTGGTGATATAGGTAAAAAAATGGGTTTCTATGGAGTAAATAATGGATTCTTGGGATTGAAGAATGTTAGGATCCCACGTACAAGAATGTTGATGAGAAATGCTAAAGTACATCCTGATGGAACATTCGTAAAGAGTCCTACATCGGTATTAACCTATTTTACTATGGTTTATTCCCGTTGTTTTGTAGCTTTCACAGCTTCTACGTTTATCACAATGGCTGCAACTATCGCGATTCGTTACTCAGCTGTAAGGAGACAAAGTCCAATAAATCCAAAGTATGTTTAATATTTATGTATAATTCATTGTTAGTCAAATAAAGAAAATTTTTTACAGTGAACCAGAGCCACAAATTATTGATCATGTCACTCAGCAGATGAAACTATTTCCTGAAATAGCTACAGGAGTTGCATATCGGTTAGCCTCCAATTATTTGATGTCGTTGTTTGTACTCACATCGAAGGAAATTGAGGGCGGTGAATATGGTCGTTTACCAGAAATGCATGCCCTGGCATGTTTACTGAAAGCTCTAAGTTCTTATGACTCCACAAATGGCATAGAACGTTTACGTTTAGCTTGCGGTGGTCATGGGTATTTAACTTCTGCCAATTTGGGCAATCTTTTTGTTGGCGCGACTGCATCTTGTACATATGAAGGAGAAAATACTGTATTACTACTACAAGTCGGTAGATATTTAATGAAGTCTTGGCGTAATGTGATTTCTGGTAAACCTTTGGCACCAACAACGGCGTATTTGGCTGAAGCAAACAAAGATTTTGGAAATTGGATGGGTAGTTGGGAAAACTTAGTAAAAGCTTTACAGTTTTCTGCAGCTAGAAAAACTAGAACTGCTTACGAGAGTTTATCTCAACGTTTGAAGTCTGGCCAAACTGAACATGAAGCAGCGAACAATACTGGCATTGAGTTTATACAGGCAGCAGAGGTAGAAATTAAACATAATTTTACATTCCCTTGAAAATGTTAATAGTTTGGAACTTACAGTTACATGGACGTGCCTTCATAGCAGATACTTTCTTAAAACAGTTCCGAAGCCTGCAAGCTAATTCAGGTTCTGTATCCTTTAACAAAGTTATTGAAAATCTTTTAGAATTATTTTTGGTACAAACTGTACTTAAGTTCATGGGAGATATTTTAATGGTAAACCGAACTTAAAATAGATACTGTGTCTACTTTTGTTAAATGAGAAATTATTTTTTTAGTTCAAAGGACTGACGCCTATCGAGATAAGTTCTTTACAAACCCGTTTGGAGGAAGTTCTAACAAAAATACGACCTGATGCAGTAGCTATTTGTGATGGTTTTGATTATCGTGATTGTACATTGTCTTCAACTTTGGGTTCATATGATGGCAATATTTATGAGCGTCTGTTTGAAGCGGCTAAGAAAAGTCCACTTAATCAGCAACCAGTTCCAAAATCGTTCCATGAGCACTTGAAACCGTTTATGAAATCTAATCTATAAAACACATATAATTTAAAAATTTATTAACGAAAATTTGCCACTTTTTTATATATATATCCAATTCTCCTATACATAATAAAAGACATGATTGAAATATAAAATATTTTAATTTAAAATATGTTAGCTTCATAATAATGTAGAGTTCATCTAAGATACGCTTTGGTGTTATTTTACAAAATCGTTCAGTAAAGACTATAACTGATATATTATAATTAATGAATAGGTTTTCCTAGTTAGTCCTGAATTCGATCGTATTTTATCTTCTTATTGCAATAAGTTCTTAAAAACTACACCAACGTATTTTTTATGAAGCTCCAATAAATAATCAATCTAGAAATTTATGTTAATGTACACGATTTGATCTTTGAAATCATTATTTAGTAAATTACAATTTTCTTTAATTGAATATAGTTAATTGTTACTTTTACAAATTAAGTATTTAATAGTAATTAAGAATTAATGAGCAAGCAGTCTATACTATCGGGTTTCAGTTAATAGTAAGCAATATAATAACATGTTTTCATTTAGTTTCATAATATTGAATAAAAAATAAAAAATTGTTCTAACCTAAGTTCACTGTACTGAACAATGGGTATACGAAGAAAACAAATTAATTTATGTAAAATTATATTACAAAACTAATTAAAATTGTGTTAAAATATAATTAACACATTTACACCTATGAACTTCAGCACTTAAAAATCGTTTCGCTGTTATCGGATATATATACATAAGCCTACCCAGATCCGAAATCAGTAGAAGCTCGTATACTGATATGACATTGTCATATACTTTATGCAAGCATAAAGTGGAAAAACTATTATTTAAGAAATATATGTATGTAAATTAGTAAAAAATTAAAAAGCCGAATTAATTAATTTCTTTTAAGTAATATTTAATTTTTATTCAAAATAATAATGAAATATTGAAATCTAGGGGGAAGAAATCTGTGTACGCCCATATATATGCTCTAATTTTATTTTGACATTCACGTATGTATTTTATACATACGTTTTTAAATAAATATATTATTTTTTTTAAAATATTATTCACTATATTTATATTTATCACTAACCTAGCACAATAAATGTAACGCATTTTATTTAAATGATAATGATATGCTCCGACTCCCTTTCTTATTAATACTCATTTGAGATAATGCATTATCAAAAGAGGCAAAAGCTTATTTACTCATTCTCGGCCTGATCTAGTTGAGTATTCAAGAAAATAACGTAAAGCTTTTGCCATTTACGCTGACTTTCGTTAGAAAAACACATTTACTGGTCTTCAGAAAATTGTGTTTTCAGTAACCGGATAGTCGCTTCTGGAAGTGGACGTTGTAAATAAAAAGTTTGAACACAAAAGACTTGCAGATAGTGTATTGATTTTTATTTATAATTATTATAATTGAGAAATCATGTCTGGAAAAAGTTTAATTCCTGCTACGGTGAATCCGGATTTACAAAAGGAACGTAATGCAGCCAGTTTCAAAGTTGAAGATTTCGCTAGTTGGTGGCATGGTGGAGCTGAAAAATTAAAATTCAAGAGAGACGTAGGTTAGTGTTTGTCGATATATTACTCTTAAATTTTTATGCGTTGTGATTTGATATAAAAGTATAATTATATATTTACAATTTAATGAAATTGTGCATTATTTAAAAAAATTTTTAAGGACACATATAAATTTAGTTTATATATTAATCATAATTAATATAACTATAACTATAATGAAGGAATATTAGTTTTATTATTATTAATATATTAAAACTACATCGATAATTACTTCAAAATTGTAATGTAAACTTATTTACATTGTTATATACCTAAAGCAAATTGATGCAACCCTTAACCCCAGTGGTAGGTACGTGATTTTGTGAAAAGTTTAAAATAATATACTGGTGTGCAGATTAAGATAATAAAAATTATTTATATTTGTCAGAGATAAGATCTGTTGATTACACAAAAATTTTAAAAATAATTTTTCTTCTTGAACCTGGGGGTTCGAAAGTCGAATAGTTTTCAATACATATATATCTGCACAAATAACAGATACGGCTCTATATACAATAATACTATACAATAATACAATAAATATTATTTCATATAAAATTTATTTTAATTTCATCAAACATATGTAAAGTAGAATAGTCTAAAATATTATACATTATATTCAGTCTATTATTGTTAGTCTATTACACGCTCCGCATTCGGGAAGGTCCATTGAGCTCTAAAATACCTGAAGCGGAAATCTTGTTTATAAAAGTTAACTCTGCAACTAAGAAAGATCTTGTCCTCTTGCTATAAACTATATTTCTAAAATAATTAAAAGTTTAAAAAAACTGACGTTCTACCTTTTAATTAAGATTTGAAGAACACTTTTTTAAATTTTAATTTATTTAGTACATAATATATATGTATTATTTTAATATACAAGATATGTGCAGTTCTTATTTTAAGTATTTCAGATATACTATTTAACTATTTAAATTTATATAACAGTTTGTATTTTAAATAATTATATGCATATATATTTCAAATTCATATTAATTGAATAATTAATTAATTTAAATTAATTGCACTTCAGATATCTTCACATATGTTATTAGTTCCGATAATTAAATTTTTATTTTAGTTAAAAGATAGAATTAATCAATTCTACTCGGATAAGTGCTTAAGATTTGATGGAAAGAGTGTAAGTTACTTTCCATTGAAATAGATATATAAATTAATTTATTTCTTTAGCTTGTAATGCAGATTATTAAAAATATGCAAAATTTTACGTTGTATTGAATGTAAATTCCTTGTACACTTTTTGGTCTTAATACTTTCTGTTTCTAAAAATATTCGTTATGTTATCTATATGATTAATCAAACATAAATCTCTTAATTTTAGAAAACTACATGTTTCAGGACTTGAAAGAGGATGCTGATTTGTTTCTCTATAAATCACATAAAGATATCTACGAACAATCTATAATGGAGTCAATCGAAGCCGCTAAGAAGTTGAGAAAACTTCAAGAGGAAAGAAATCCAGGAGGAGATGATATTTGGCCGTAATTATTTAGCATTTTTTAAAGTTTTTTTTATTTTAATACATATTACTGCTCTTTAAGAACCCTCTACTCTTCAATCCATGTTGCGGGTGCTATGAAGGCGGGCAATCCGTTCGGTGTGCAATTTGCAATGGTTGTGAAAGCTTTAAAGCAACAATCCACAGATGAGCAATATGAAGAATTTGGAAAGCGGGTAGCAAATTTCGAAATTTCAGCCACTTATGCACAGACCGAACTCGGTCATGGTACATTTTTGCGAGGTTTAGAAACCAGAGCGGATTATGATCGTAAAACTGATGAGTTTATTTTGAATACTCCAACCATATCAGCATATAAATGGTGGCCTGGTGGATGTAAGTATCATCAACCACCTCAAAATAAAATAAAAAAATCAATCCACTGGTTTCTTGATTATAGTGGGCCATTCTTCGAATTACTGCATTGTGGTAGCACAGCTTTATATAGACAATGATCCGAAAGGTGTACAAATGTTTTTTGTGCAAGTAAGAGATGAAGAAACACACATGCCATTACCGGGTATTGACATTGGTGATATAGGTAAAAAAATGGGTTTCTATGGAGTAAACAATGGATTCTTGGGATTGAAGAATGTTAGGATCCCACGTACAAGAATGTTAATGAGAAATGCTAAAGTACATCCTGATGGTACATTCGTAAAAAGCCCTGCATCGGT